GCCACCTTGGTGCTGGGGCTGCTGGGGGTATCAGAGACACAAACCCGCAGGCCCGGCACCCAGTAGACCCAAGGCCTTCGTGGCAGCACTAAGGAGCAGCAAGCCAAGCGGTAGGAAGCAGCAAGCAGGTGGGCAGTAACAAGGGAGGGGTCCCGCACTGCAAGAGGGCAGATGCTGGGCTAAGGGACCCCCCATCCATCCCTCGTGCACGAATTTCGTGCACCGGGCCTCTAGTTAAATAATAAGCTGTATTGCCACTGTTTGGATTTATAAATTTTCTTATCCATACCAGTAGTTTAATTTTTATTTAAAATTTAGTGACCTTTTAGAAGTCGTTAATATCAGAAAGTTTGAAAACAGTAAAAGGAGATTAATAAAGTACAGATTAATAGCTGTGTATTTTGAAGTGAAGAAGTTAATAATTTACTATAGTGGTGCTTAGGATGTGATTTGTGATTCTTTTGAGGATTATAATTTTGAAAGTGCTTAGGTTATGTTGATATTTACTTCATTATAATATAGCACTCTGGGAACTAAAAAATTTAATAGTATTGTCAGTTATGGCAACATCTAAAAGTAATAAAGTAGAACAAAAGAATACTTAAAAGAACTTAAAAGATAATATTTGTTAACTATGAAAATGAATATAAGTAAATTTTATTGTCATTTTTTTCTAGATTTATTGTCTAGGATAGATTTGGATGAACTAATGAAAAAAGATGAACCACCTCTTGATTTTCCTGATACCCTGGAAGGATTTGAGTATGCTTTTAATGAAAGTAAGTGGTGTATGCTACATACAATATTTATTTAACAATGCTGATAGAATTACAGGACAGATGTTATTTGCTACTTTTATGTGCCAGCATAAATGTTTTATGTATTTCTTTTCAGAAATACTTTCATGGCAAAATTCTTCACTTAATTAAAAGAACCAAGTCATGATTTCTCATAAATTGTGAAGTCACTTAAACCAATGGACATGAATTAGATTCAGCTTACATATTTCAACCATGAGCATTCAACTTCCTGGTATCCAATTGGAATTCCCAATTATCCTATCTAATAAAAGAGCAATATGCAAATTAACCATCACTCTGTCACTCCCTCACTTCGTCACAAAGATGGTGACGGCCACGGAGCTGGAGCAAGCAGGAGGCTTGGGTTGCCCCCAGCGATGGAGGAAGCCAAGCTTCCCGCCTGCCCTGGCTGGCCCTGAGCTCTGCTCAAGGCTACAAAGTTTCAATTATAGAAGATAAATAAATCCCAGATACCTGCTTAAAAAAAAGAAAAAAAGGACAGGCTGGGAGCTTGGGTCGCCGGGGGGCTTGACCAGCCTGAAAACAGCCATCAGCCCTTCACCCAGGCTGGCCATGCACCCCAGTGGGGACTCCCCACCCTGAAGGGGGTGTGGCCAGCCTGAAAACGGTCCTGAGCCCCCCACCCAGACTGGCCAGGCACCCCAGCAGGACCCCTACCCTGATCCGGGACACCCTTCAGGGCAAACCAGCCGGCCCCCACCCGTGCACTAGGCCTCTATCCTATATAATAAAAGGGTAATATGCAAATTGACCCTAACAGCAGAATGACTGTGAATGACTGGTCACTATGACACACACTGACCACCAGGGGGCAGACGTTCAATCCAGGAGATGCCCCCTGGTGGTCAGTGTGCTCCCACCGGGAGAGCTGTGCTTAGCTACAAGCCAGGCTGACGGATGCCACCACAGCGGTGGTGGTGGGAGCCTCTCCTGCCTCCTCAGCAGCACTAAGGATGTCTGACTGCAGCTTAGGCCTGCTCCCCGCTGGCAAGTGGACATCACCCGAGGGCTCCCGGGCTGCCAGAGGGATGTCTTACTGCCAGCTTAGACCCGATCCCTCGGGGATCGGACCTAAGCCAGCAGGTGGACATCCCCCGAGGGGTCCCAGACTGCGAGAGGGCACAGGCCAGGCTGAGGGACCCCCTCGAGTGCACAAATTTTTGTGCACCGGGCCTCTAATATTATATAAACATATGCTACTGTTTCACATATTATTTAAAATGAAGTGACTGGCAATGGTTATCTGTGATGATATTTTAAAGCATACTACTCAGTTTTCTATGACTTTTTTCAGGCAACATTCTTATTTCAAAGTTTATTAGTTAAATTCTAAATAAAGTAAACTTTGCACTTGGAACTTAGAGGAACACACCATAGATTGCAAGAATGTTTTTGAACAAAAACTTATGTTTCATTAGATTAATAACACAGTGTTTTACTTGAACGGTAATGTTATTACAGATTAGGTAGCATTTGAGGTAAGGATTTGAAAACAGGAAACTCGGTCTCAATATTAAATCCCTAAAAAGTTAAGTCCAACTTAGTATCTTTGGGGACTTCTTTTTTAGGTTTATAAGGACAAAAACTCTTATGAAAGCCTCAAAATGAAACTTCAATTACCTGACTGGAGAAGCTGCTAAATTTTTCTAAAGGATTTTACGGTTCTTAATTGGGTAAAAGTAAAATTTGGAAACAAAGCTCACTCTAAGCAAAAGGGAAGATATTCTTTTTATCTGAGTCAAACTGATACATGTTCTTTCAAATCACTGTGCCTGTTTAAATGCTCCTTGGGTTTAAGATGTCTACTTAGCCATTCTCTGGTTGTAATTATATAAGGCCCAGCTGAAATATCTTTTCTTTGGAAGATGAAGAAGGTGAAGGTTTTCCCCTTTTTACCCTCACCCACACTCCCTAGGCCAGGGGTGGGCAAACTTTTTGACTCGAGGGCCACAATGGGTTCTTAAACTGGACCGGAGGGCCGGAACAAAAGCATGGATGGAGTGTTTGTGTGAACTAATATAAATTCAAAGTAAACATATTACATAAAAGGGTCCGGCCCTTTTTTTTTTTTAGTTTTATTCATTTCAAACGGGCTGGATCTGGCCCGCGGGCCGTAGTTTGCCCACGGCTGCCCTAGGCCCTAGTGCAGTATTATGAGGAAGCACACTTTTGTATCACCAAAAAGTAATTGTACTTGTTTGTAGACTGTTCAAGTTTGAATCTTGTCTTTCATTATATCTGACTAGAGGCCCGGTGCATGAAATTCGTGCACTGGAGGGGGGATGTCCCTCAGCCCAGCCTGTACCCTCTCAAATCTGGGACATCCCTCTCACAATCCAGGACTGCTTGCTCCTAATTTGCCTGCCTCCTACCTGCCTGATTGCCCCTAACCGCTTCTGCCTGCCAGCCTGATCACCCCCTAACCACTCCCCTGCCAGCCTGATTGCCTCCTAAGTGCTCCCCTGCCGGCCCGGTTGCCCCTAACTGCCCTCCCCTGCCGTCCTGGTCGCCCCCAACTGCCCTCCCCTGCAGGCCTGGTCACCCCTAACTGCCCTCCCCTGCAGGCCTGGTCCCCCTGAGCTGCCCTCCCTCCCCGCAGGCCTAGTCCCCACCAACTGCCCTCCCCTGCCAGCCTGGTCCTCCCCAACTGCCCTCCCTCTTCTACAGACCCGGTCGTTCCCAACTGCTCTCCCTTGCTGGCCCGATCACTCCCAACTGCCCTCCCCTGCCAGCCTGGTCATCCCCAACTACTCTCTCCTGCCGGCCCAATCGCTCCCAACTGCCCTCCCCTGCCGGCCTGGTTGCCCCCAACTGCCCTCCCCTGCCAGCCCGGTCACCCCTAACTGCCCTCCCCTGCTGGCCATCTTGTGGTGGCTATCTTGTGACCACATGGGGGCAGCCATTTTTTGACCACATGGGGGCATCCATCTTATGCGGGGGCATGACAGTCAACTTGCATTACAATAAAGAGGTAATATGCAAATTGATTATCACTGCAACACACAAGATGGCCGTCCCCATGTGGACACAAGATGGCCCGTAGGGGAGGGCAGTTGGGGAGGACTAGGCCTGCAGTGGAGAGCAGTTGGGGAGGACCAGGCCTGCAGGGGAGGGCAGTTAGGGGTGACCAGGCCAGCAGGGGAGGGCAGTTAGGGGCAATCGGGCCAGCAGGGGAGCAGTTAGGCGTCAATCAGGCTGGCAGGGGAGTGGTTAGGGGGTGATCAGGCTGGCAGGCAGAAGTGGTTAGGGGCAATCAGGCAGGCAGGCAGGCGAGCAGTTGGGAGCCAGCAATCCTGGATTGTGAGAGGGATGTCTGACTCCCAGATTTGAGAGGGTGCAGGCTGGGCTGAGGGACACACCCTCCACCCCTGTGCACAGATTTCGTGCACCGGGCCTATAGTATAGGATATTTATTAAACTCTTACTACAGAAAGTATCCTATATATTTTCAATTGTTTGATTTATTTAGACCAGTGATACCCTATTTTAGTTCCTAGACTACCATTAATCTGATAAAAAATATGTATGCATTTCCTAGAATAATGCACTTTTGTGTATACATATGAAACTTTACAGCTGATTTTAGAGGACCCTGAGCTACAGTGTCCTAAATCAGACCTTTGACAATTACTGGAGATATTTTCTAAACCTTTGAGAAATGCCAAATTTGCAGATACCACTATAACAAAAGTGATACAGATTGTTTTTCTGGATAAGAATACTCATTTTCCCCCCGCCCCCCCCCATCTTTATCTTCTTTTCACTTTTAACACTAATGCTAACAGTTAGCTCTTTGTTGGGGCTTATTTTTTCCAAAAGAACAAAGATCTTTATTACATTACTAGAGGCCCGGTGCACAAAAATTTGTGCACTCGGGGTAAGGGGGGGGG